CCCTTGTGGTCTCTTCCAACTCTATAATTCTATGATTCTATGATCATCCAAAAGCTCCATATGCATGCAGCTTGATTTCTTGTGATACCCTCACATTTCTTTCTTGTTGGAATACATTGTTGTTATTCATTTCTATCCCACCTTTCTTCCATATTGGGAAAAAATTGGGACTCAAACCGGGTTACAACAATTAAAAAAAACATTGTTAAAAATCCACAAGATAAAAAGTTAAAACACAGTTAAACAATCTGAAAAAAAATTAAAACCAGCTTATATATCATTAACACGCACACACAAACATACACACCAGCACAACAGTTAGCAATATCCAGTGCATTGTGTAACTAATTACTCATCAAGTGTTTGTCGGAATAGAAAAGTGTTTGCTTTTTTGTGAAAAGAAAGTAGGGATGATGCCAACTTCTCTGGGAAAGGAGTTCTGGAACCTGGGGGCAGCCACTGAAAAAGCCATCTGTGTTCCCATCAGATGTACCTGAGACAGTACTGGGAGAGAGAGAACGGCTTCCCTCGCAGATCTCAGCTGATATTATGGTTTAAAACTTATTTTCTGACATGAACTATTTTTATCTTTTTCTGCCCTCTGACGTGGCAGTCTGCTTGTTTTTGAGAGCCATACTTCAATCAGATTGAGTTTAAGGAAACGGGTTGCTGTCAGTTTGGCTTTAGTCCTCTGCTCCTGTTTCTTATTTAGTTACAAGACAATTGCAGACTAAAATATGATAAAATACATTTTGCTTGAATTATGAGTGCATCAAGTTGTATAAGTCTTACATTTCTGTGCTAGTGGGTCTTGACGTGTGTGTATGTGCAAATCACATAAATGTCATTGAGTTGTAAATTGAAAGAAGGCTTATATGAAATTTTCTCAAGATTCCTGTCACTACATGTCTACAATTCACAACAAATTTTCATTGTCAAGTGGTGATTAAAAAATTGGGATAGAGTGTGGACACACCTGCAGAGTCAACCAAATCATTTACTCATATAAAACAAAGATCTTTAATAGTATGACACATACAGAAATCATCTAGAATGCAGTACACTTGTAGACCGGCCCAAAGAGCCAGCCTGGGGGTGGAGTTGGGGCAGGGCAGCCGCACACCGGCCGTCCCAACTCCATCCTGATGTCGTCCACGGCGCTGGCTCTTAGGGCGGCCTTTTGGCACCCCTAAAAGGAGTGACATTTTGCCACTCTTTTAGGGGTGGCAAAAGGGAGGATCGGGGCCATGGTGTGGGATTTCCCCAGCCCCGATCCGTTGCTAGAAGGGGTGGCCCAGAGCCGGCCCAAACAGGACGTCTGTAGATCCCTATGTTAATGTATATCACTAAATATACAGAGAAGATCTTTTTTCTAACTAACCTGGTCCTGAAATTGCTTAAATTACCTAAAAACAGGTAATTCACTTATGACCAGAGATGAAAGGAGGAATTATGAAGTTCTAGCAATATTATACATATGTGTGTGGCACTGCATTGGATGTAGTTTTACATCTTCCAAAATGTTCTGGGAATGCTCTCTCTCATTTTAGGAATGATGAAGAATGTTCTCAACTGATATGAATAAATGGTTCCTGAACAGGTGTCATCACAGCATCACACATTATGATTAGCACTTTTTCCTCTTGAACACAAAGGAGGGAGAATGTCATCACTGATGAGTCCCTGAAAGGAAGCATCTCACA